TATATTTATTTTATTTTTCAACTGCTATTGTAAAAATATGTTAGGAGCCTTGTATTTAATTTTCAAATCTTAGATCTAAAAAGAAAAAGTTTTATGAATTTTTATCTAAGATAATTTGAACATTGCCGTAATTTTTACGTATTTAGTAAAAATTTGAACTTTTAATGCTTATAAAAAAAAATTGTGACAATATGAATTTATTTTATTTTTCAACTGTTATTGTAACAATATGTTTAAAACCATATTGTATTACATTTTCAAGATCTTCTACCCAAAAAATAAATTTTATCGATATTAATTTTAAAAAAATAATAATGATCGAAAATTGCATATGCCTATGAATAGTTCAACTTAAGTCGAAACTTGCATGGTAGATAGAATATATTTATATAAACATTTGGTGAAAATGTCATGTATCTATGGTCATTTGTTTTAAAGTTACATCAAAAACCAAAATTGATTTTGTCGAAAATTGATTGTGCGTAAAATTTCCTGTTTTTCCCTTAATTTTTAGTTTGTTTATCCTGATGAACCCTAAAAAGTACCAACTAGATTCACTTTCTGATCGAGCGAGGTCTTGAAGTCAAAAACCGAAGCACTTTTACGGCCCCAAAACGTGATGACCGACACAAACAAAAAATAAAAACACATCATGGTAAAATCAATACATTCATCGCTCCGCTCAGAATCTAAAACTTCAAAAAAATGTGATTAAGTGGATACTGCTATGCTATAACTACAGTAGTTTTAAGTTATATTTGAATTCAATGATAAATCATTGCATAGGAAAAACGATTCTAATCATAGAGTCAACATGACATAATAATGGATACTTGAATAAATAAACTTAAATTTAATATTAAAAAAAAAAAAATTAAAAAAATTAAAACATCTCATGGTTATGATTTATGAATATTAGCTTAACTTTCCAGTGGGTGAACTTTTTTTATTTTTTGATGTTGGTAGAAAAACTTCTTGGGAATCTACTAATTAAATTTCTTATGTCAACGATAAAAAGAAACACTTTTATGCATTTCCAACCAAAAAATAATTAACAACATTTTAAAATTTTTTATGACATATAACTTAGCTATTAAAAAGAGCCAAAATAGTTCGAAAATTCAACCATGTACTCAAATAGTAATTTTAAAATTTGGTGAAAAATTCTGATGTCTTCGTTTATTTTGATATTTTGTCAAAATATGAATTTTAAATGCATATGAAAATTAATCGTGTATTGTTGGTTTAATATTTTTGAACTTCCATTAAATAAACTTGTGAGAAACATCGTATTAAATTTTCGTACTTTTTAAAATATTAACTGCAGATTGGTACCTAGGGTTTTTATAGAGATTAATTTAAAAAAGTGGGTGACGTTCTGCTGTACAGTAGGTTACAAATTACAAGTGGTTCATAGGTTCATTGTAATGGACAGTGTTAAATTTGAATTTAATGATAGTATAATTTTATACGAAAAACAATTCTGAGTGTAGTCGGTTTTCCGGCTTAAGATATTTTATATTTTATTTATATATTGTTATTATTAATACGATATCCGGTAGGTTGAATTAATATTATTATCTAAAATTTTGCATATTATCATATTTGTATGTATAGTAATATGCTTAAGTTTTARGTACCCATGAATAATATTTATTAATTAATACAACAATATAATATAACAACTGTGTGAGTAGGTATACATAGGTTGATAGGTATACACATATTATTTTCGGTATTGTTGAAAACTACTGAGAATTTTAAATTATAATCTAAATGCAAATACCCGAATCCACCAATTAGATTCACTTTCTCACCGTAAAAAATACTGAAGTTGAAAATCGAATCATTATTTCTACTATACTTATCGTGTATACCAGTCACCAGACATGAGTTGTTACTTAGTAGACGATTACTCGGTTGGATTTCTGAATTATATATTTAATATCGAAAGTCAAATAAAGGAAGGAAAAATGTATGTAATTTAATTTCAAGACATGACGTAAAAACTATTCTTTAAAAGATTTGTATTAATAGTCCTAATTCTTAAATTTCTATAGAATCGCATATTATTTGGACAATACTATAAAGTAAATGAAAGTTATCTAAAAAAGATAGGAAGGTACCTATATAATTTTTTTATCATACACAGTGAAAATCGCATCAATCGTAGTGCTAATGATTTCAAGTTTGGATCATTTGTCATTAATTTAAATAGAATAGTAAATGTCGAAGAATATTAGAAAGTGTTCCTGAATTGATTGATGTTCACTTTTTAATCTTCACTGACGATTCTCCAGCCAGTCAAAATCAACGGGATTTGATCTATTTTTTAACAGATAAATCCTGATTCCTTTCGATCATTTAATAGAATAGGAAAGGGTCAGGAACCTTTTCGTAAGAAACAGCCATTTTTTTTATTTTAAAGTTACTAAACATGATATCCAGGAAACTTATTAGGTTGTTCAGTCCAGGAATCAAATTTTTTTTTTAGGTCGTAGCCCGTAGGTATAGAATTTTGTTATTTTTTAAAATAAAATTTATATTTTACGGTTCTCGATATATTGATGCATTTTTCAAAGATCCACAGATTAGTAATTTAAAAAAGAGCCATATGTTCTCRACCGTTGGAATAGGACAATAATCAATTTTAAAAAAATAAATAGATTTTTTCTACTATTTTCTTATTTTGGTAAATACACATAGTACAAATTATTAAAATCCCTAAATTTCTTTTGGAACTGATTCGAGTGATTCGCCTGCATTGTGTTTCAATTTATATGATTTATTGTTTGTTCTAAATTAATTACCTATCTATTTAACAACTAAGCCAATCAATTTTGTTGGCATTGATATTGAAGAATAACTATGGTTGCCCAATTGTTGAATCATTGAGAAAAAATCTTTTTTAGTTGCATGATTAGTTTTAACACAATTATTGACATACCCACTCATAAGTCATAAATTTGATTATATGAACACATTTTGTTTCAAAAAGCACTAAATCATAATCTGACAAATATTAATCATATTTATTTATTAATATTTATTTAAATATTTATCATCACTCCACACAGAATCTAAAATATTCATAGGCAGTTTTTCAAAGAAATTCAATGTTTATGTATGTTTTCATTGGTTTTCGAAAAAATTAGTAAAATTTAGTAAAGTTACTTTAACTACATAATTTATATTATTTGTATATTCCTTGTTCTCAGAAATGTACATAAGCATTTAAGCATAGTGAAAGTTAAAACAATTTTCATGGTATAACTTTCTAAATGGGTGACTAGATTCTATATAAAATTCTATAATTTTAATTATTAATTACTTATTTGCTAAATAATCATTTATTATATACCTACACAAATATCATAGCTCTAAAACTAAGGATAGTTTTTATTTATGTTGTAAGTTAGTTATTAATTATGAAAATACATAAGTATAAATAAAGTTAATTATTTTTGTTTAGATATGCTCAATTATTTTAATGAAAACATCTGACAAATATATATCAAATTTGGATATCACAAGAACGTTTCTCAACTTGGAAACAAATAAGACAATATTTTTTTGTTTGTATAGTGGCTTTTTAATGATGTTGTCATGTATTTGTGCATTATATACTGCTTTAACAATACGCAGACAACTTTGCTATTGTGTGAGCAAATTCGTAAATTATTATTTCATATTTTCATTAAATTTCATTATATATTCATATCATATCAATGAGTAAGGTACCTATTGAATAAATAAATTAAATAATTTAATTTAGTATGGTATAAATTAATGTATGATAATATTACATAACTGTCAATAAGTAAATAACAGTTAACAAATGTCATGTAATTTATTTATTTAATATAAACATTACTGACATACATTTCAATTTTAATGAAAATCATACAGTTAATACATAGATCATAAACTAAGGCAGAGGTATTCAAACTGTGCGTCGTRGCTCCCAGGGGCGTCGTGAGAGTTWACAAAGAGAGCTGTGTCAAAGAACCAAAAACCAACATCATACCTAGGTCTTTTATAATTATTATAAATATTATTTGCAATCATGGAAATGAAAATGACACACCTCACAATGCAACCAAATTTTTGTTTCTTGTACTAAAATCACTGTTATTTATTATCCATATAACATATTGGCCATATTCTATCCGTGTGTGGTTTCAATTTTTTCATAATAATTTGGGAGCCATCAAAATATTGTGAACGCACAAAGGAGCTGCGGAGTRAAACTGTTTGAATACCTCTGTACTAAGGTACGGATTTTAATAGATAGGTCACAATCTATATCGAATACTCAAATTGATACTATAAGTATAYGTTATACGTATGTGACATGTGAATATAAAACTACCATGACAGGAAAAAACTAGGAAATGTGATAAAAAAGCTACATATTGATGTCATTGTTTATTACCTATGAGGCAATATATGTTTATTAGGTAATCATTATGGTGTTGATCACGACACTATTTACACTTCAGGTGTCTACGAGGATTACCAGGAATTGATAAAGAGGATAAGTTTTGAATTAATGGATTTGAATGAGATAATATAGACTATTATGTAGATCATTTTTTATAAAATCATTAATCTTTTTTATTATATAGTTTTTAATTTTAAATGTGTGTACAATTTTAAGTTTAATATTTTAATATAAAGSAAACTAGCAAACTAGGAAGATAGGAAGGGGCATTAATTAATTATCCAAGAGTAATAATTCGAAAATATCGAATTTTATTTGTATTTTATTTTTTTGCATTCTACGTAAAACACAGTTGAAGTGAATATAAAAACAAATTGGTTGAATATGTTGGGGGGAAGCTCTTTAATCTCATAGAAGAATTAATTCCCCCAAAACCATACCTACAAAGATGGAAGAAAATGGTTTTTTAGATGATTACATATATAATAAATATTATACCAATTACTTTTCAGCATTCTTTGTCTTTGTTTTTTCATAATTAATATTTAGTAGGTACCTACCTTATACTTTTCCTATACTCTTATCAATAACGATTAACCTGCATTAGTTTATACTTGTTTTTTTTTTAAATATAGATTAGTGGTGTTATGATAATTAGTGCAATATTTCAGCTTGGACTTGGAATAACAATAATCAACAGAATAACCGATCAACAAACTATGGTAAAAAAAGAAATGAAGTTGAGTTTTTTAAATTATGGTATTCAATCAGATGTCACACAACGTTGGAATTCATTTCAGTCAGAGGTAATCATCTTTAGAATCTATAAATAAGTTAAATAATTTAAAAAATGACAATACTCAGGTTTTTTTTTATCATAAATTAGTTATTTATTTATTATAATATATATATTGTCTAGTAGGAGTATAAAAAGAAGAACATACATTTTTGAACTGAAAAGGCAAAAACAAATATCTTCAATACATAATTATTAGGTATACTTTCACAAGCCTTATCAATTTTGTATAGGTATATTGAAACTATCACAATTCATAATAATTGAAACAAATAAAATTTACATAGAAATCTTTGCACATTATATAGTAAGCTAATAAAAACATTATTTAAAACTATATTGACGCCTAGACAGCTAATATAAAATAAATTACCACAGTGATATTAATGACATGTTAAATTTTATAGTTACATATTTTAATAATTAGTTTTTATATATAATTCTGGTATCAAATAATATGTAGTAGGTAATAAATGAAATAAATAAAATAAACAAGTACTGTAAAGAACAGATAATTTGGGTAAATACTCAAATATTTAATATTCTTAAAATATGACTGTTGATTCCATCACAAATGATATTACCTACAGGTAATGAATTTAAAATATAAACCTAATTTTAACATAAACAGTGTAGAATTTTAAGTTTTAAATTATGATCCTGGTTTAATTAGTTATATTTTAAAATATGATTAAGTAAATATTTACTTAGAAAATAAAAATATATTTTGAATAGTGTAAGTGGTGTTTTAATAAGAGAAATTTTAAGAACATTTGAGTATTTAATACAAAATCTTACAAATAACTATAGAATATATTTATTTTTGTATTACCTGTATCATAAACTTCAGAGTATTTTATTTTTAATACAACAATGTTAGTGATTCGGAAAATCACAAATATGAGCAATATAGGTATGAAGAAAATATAAATAGTAACTTAAAAGACTAAAAATTATCAATAAGTTAATATGTAGACTGCAACAATGTTGTTATTGACTATAATTGTGATTAGATGCCAGCGTGTTTGTGTTAAAGAAATATGTATATTTCAACAATTTTAGTTTAGTAAAAATATCTAGTGACAGAGATAATGATAACAAAACTGGTTAATAGTAATTTCTGAAAAAATGTATTAAAAATTAAAATACCTTATATTGTAATATACTAGGTAAATATTGTGTTTTACTCTTTTTATAGACACATATGTAAATATATTTTATAAAGAATACAATTTGGTAGAAATTGAATCTTAAAATATATATATATATTTTTTTTTACACCCAGACTAACACTTACAAATGGAACAGTGATATGTTTATCATGCAAAATTTAGTTTAAATTTTTATATTTACTAAAGTGTTGCATAGGTATTTGCTTAGGTTAATAATTTTATCAGATAAATTATATTTATTCTAATATACAATTTAAAAATGTCTTTTATGCGAGCTTTTGTATTATACTGGGTATTATACAAAATAATCAGTTGGAGTGTATGCTAATAATTATCATTATTTTTTCAGCACACCTAAAAAAATTATCATTTAAAATTTAACCAAAATGTTTTTTTTTTTATTCAGTCAGTTCCAATCTTAAATTAAAGTTTACATTTAAATTCGCAAACAATTGCACATCACAAAGCAAGGACATAAAATGTACCTCGTATAGTCGTATACCATAATAATAATAATAAAAAAATGAATCAGTATTTTGACTTAAATTTTGAATTTGTTTTAATTGTACACAGTCTTAATAATAAATACATTGAAAAACAAATTATCAATATTTTATGAAAAGTATAAATGAACAAAATATAGTTTAACAGTGTCCTTGCTTCCATTCATAATCTAAAATACTCAACATTAGACTATTTTTAACTTTGGGCCTATTTGATTTTAAATATCATCATATTCAAAAAAATATAAAAGTACATACCTAGCTACATAGTTAGCTATTAAAATAAAATGATTAAACTCAAAGTCTTTACTAATATTACACTGTACAAATCAAACTAATAAAGATCAACAACAATCTGTACACTTCACTGTTTTTACATTATTTGGCCTAACATATTACTCTTTTATTATTTACCAAGTAGTTAAAACTTAAGTCTATTGATTATGAGTAGACTGACCGTTTGTAGATTTTTGTTTTTCGCGGTTGTATTGCTCTAACATGTCTGGTGGTACAAGCATCCTAAGATTAGAGTTTTCTGTTTCTAGTAGTCCAACTTTATCCATTAGCTCTGCAATCTTCTCTTTTAATACTTCTACTTCTTCACGCACAGCATACATAAGATGGCTTTTGACCAAATCCATAGCTTGTTCAATTTTGTTATCGATAGCTACAGTAGTAGTTGCACTATTATTGGTTCCATTATCAACATCTTCAGCATTATTGTCTTCTTTTTTTTTTATTTCTACAGTTTTCATTGAAGGTTTGTATGGTGCCATTTGTTGTTGGGAAGGAATGTAACAATTTTGMATACCATTAGCATAGTTTGGGTTAATAGGCACATGTTGTTGTAGTGAATATGTCATTTGTTGTTGGGACATAGGAATTGGTTGTATAGTATTTTGTGGTATAACGGTAATTTGTGGTTGCTGCATCATATTAGACTGACCCACTGGCTGTTGCTGCTGTATATGCATTTGAGTAGACGTAACAGTGTTAGTCGGAATTTGCATTACAGCTTGCTGAAGTTGCATAGCGTTTAAACTTTGAGCCTGTGAATAACTTGGTTGATGCATGATGGGTTGATTATTTTGCATTGGCAATTGTGGCTGAGACTGCATCATTTGTTGAGTTTGTTGATATTGTTGCCCAGCTTGTTGCATGTGTTGTGGCTGTTGTGGTTGAATTACTTGTTGATTTTGAGATTGAGGTACAGACATTTGGGAATTTGATTGACTTATTCCCAGCTGCTGATTTAAAACTTGACTTTGTTGAGACATACTTTGATTTGGTTGTAGAATTTGTTGAGACATTGGTTGACTAGGTTGGCTAGTTTGGGCTAATTGCTGTTGTATTTGTTGTTGAGGTTGTTGTTGTTGTTGCTGTTGAACTTGTTGGTTTTGTTGATTTAACTGCTGCCCTTGATTAAGAGTTTGCTGAGGAATCATCTGTCCTGTATGATTTATTTGTGGATTATTTTGATGAATTATTTGACTCTGACTAATCTGTTGTTGTTGAGGAATCTGCTGTTGTTGAGGAATCTGTTGAGACTGAGGCTGAATTTGAGTTGTTTGCATTTGCTTAGAATGTTGTAATTGTGTTTGTAGGGGAATCTGTTGGCTCTGTAGTGTAATTTGTTGAGGTTGATGTGAAATTTGTTGACTTTGAGCTATTTGTTGCATTTGATTTGACTGAGGCATTTGCTGCGGTTGATTGCTAATTTGAGTAAGTTGATTAATATGATGAGTTTGCTGAGGCAATTGCTGCTGGATTTGTGAACCTTGTGGTCCTTGTAACTGTTGTCCAACTTGTTGCATTTGTTGAGGTGCTTGTTGTTGTTGTTGTTGTTGTTGTTGTTGCTGTGAAGAAGATACTTGCTGGACATGTGTCTGTTGGGCTTGTGGTGTTTGTTGAGGCTGCTGGATATGTTGCTGAGGCATTTGCTGACTTTGTTGAGGAACAGACTGGGTTTGTTGAGGTTGACTAGGCTGAGAAATGGTTGACTGATGAGATAATTGCTGATTTTGTTGGACCATTTGAGATTGCATTTGATTTTGTTGTACCATATTTTGCTGCGGGCTAGGCTGTTGTTGCATTTGTTGCACAGGAGCTGACAACTGTTGTTGGTTTTGTTGAATTTGTACATGATTTTGCAATGGTTGATTTTGAATAGGTATTGACTGAAATTGCTGTTGACCAATATGTTGATTAGACATAGACACCGTGGTTGAAGATTCAGAAGTAACATTTTGTGACTGGACTGGTGGGGAGTTGTAATATTGAGGAACTTGTTGATTAATCATTTGGTTTACTGATTGCTGGATAGGTGCACAGTTAGGTAAGACAGATTGATTTTGTTGTACAAATGATTTTTGAAACTGTGCTGGCATGTTATGTTGCAAAATTTGTTGTTGTAAATTTGCCTGTGACATAGATTGATATTGTTGTGGCATTGTTTGAGTGACATTCTGATCCACAGAGTTTATATGTTGAATAGACTGTGGTTGTATTGATGAGTTTTGATTTTGCATAACATTAATAACTGGTTGGGTTTGTTGTAACTGAGATTGCATAACTCCGGCGTTTGCAATTACTTGTTGTATCTGCTGAGACTGTAAGCTGGAATGTGGTATACAATTTTGATTGATATTATTATGCTGGGTTGATAACTGAACTTGGGTAAGACTTTGTGGCTGTGGTGCCTGTACAGAAGTTGAAATTGGCTGACTTGATAAAACCGGAACTTGCATATTAGTCTGTAAGCTTTGACCAGGAGACACACAGGCACTATGGATAGGAGTAGTTACACCAGACGATACAATATTGTAAGTAGAAGTTGGATTTTTATAATTATCTGAGTTATTACAATTACTGGTGTAAGTACTGACATTATTAGTACAGACTCTAAACTCTGGATTTTCATGATGGCCATTGTCCAATGGCTCATTTGTATCTAAGTCATTTGCCTGAGAAAAAGCCTTGTTATCACCATTTACCATGATTATTTTATTGTTACCTGATTGTTGTTGATTCATTGAATGATCTAAAAAGTCCATACACACCCAACGACCACGTTTAAATGGTTCTGTACTTTCAATTTTCACAACTTTAAACCTCTCATTTCTATTTTTGTTTTGAAGACCATTTAAATCACACTCATTCTTTTGTGAATTAGCATCGACACCATGCATTTCTTCATTTTTAATGGAACCTAAAGAATGGCCACCATCTGAATTATCAACAATAGCCAGACCATATTGTGAGCTAGTCGGTATGACTGGTGCAGAACTGCCTAGATCATTAGACGTATTGTACACAACCATGTTGTCAGCATAATTTTGCAATTCAGCTTCGTGCCTGTTATCTACTGTTCTGTGATCGTGAACATGTGACTCGGTGTCAGGGGAATCKTCATCATTGTCATCATTATTTGGTTCTGTGATACTAGTGATTTCAAATGATGTCTTTTTGGCTACACAGTTATCACTCGAAGGTGGTTGTATAGAATTGATATTTTCTACACAGTTTTGTTTTACGTCAGACTGCGCATCGTTGGCTTTTTGATCCACACCACCGTCCTCCATGGTGATGCGGTTAAATAATTCTACAATACCCCCACAATGGAATAACCCAGGCAGGAAACGTGGCTAACTAAACACGTATGGTTAACAATGTATTATAACGAATTTAAAGTACAGAATACAAAATATATGCATTACATACTTTTATTGAGTTTGTATGCAACATTGTGTGCCGGGAACATACGTCTGCAACATGTCGTGTAGAAAAAAATTCGAAAAATATATCAAAACCTAAAACGGACACGAACATACGAGTACCACCGTAATCTACAACCGACTAGTTTCGACATCAATCGGACACTGCGGCTGYGGCGCGGACACTGCAAGCGTCAACGTTGCGATYGAGAACAGCGGAAGATAAACTGACGGCATCGAAAAGCGAAACGGCAGGACCGTAATTCGTAAATCGTCGTCAATTTAGACTTTTTCGCGTTTCACAGACACAGACGCACGTCGTACTGCAACATATTTCCACGAAAACACGCCTCATCGATGAGGAATGCGCGAAAAAAAAACAACCTCGACCTTGCGAACATATGGCTCAATGCTTATCAGATACTGCGGATGTTTTTTCATGGAACTATAGATAATATTTGATATACGTATTGGTTTTATCCATGGATCTGATAGTCAACAAAATTAGCTCCGAGTCTTTGATATAGAACATATTGTTATGTTATCTATATCTTTGGGACTTGGCCACTTGGGTTCGGGCACAGAATAGATATTATGTGGGTTCGGGGCCAACATTGTTGAAAACTGAAAAGATTGCATATCGCATATAACTGTTATGTTTATGTATATAACTAAAATCGTCCATACTTACTACTTACTAGTACTTATTAGTATTTACTAGTAATATAAAATATTAATTATAAATTTATAACGATTAACGAGAGAAAACAAATTAAACAACAAAGATGTTACATTTACAGAATAAGATTAAAGATACTAGATAACACAAACGTATTAATTGCTACACGACTGTACTCATCATGAAAATATGTACAAATTGTACAATGTACACTTAATATGCATAATCGTAAATAAATACGTAAATACGTAATCGAAGTCGACAAATTTAAAAAGGCTAGAGGTTCAAAATACTGCATATATTTTCAATCAGTTTCCTAATTCTCATTCTGTTCTTTATATTGGGCTAACTACTCCAGCCCCAGCGTTTCGGGGGCTCCAAGCGAAAAGAAATATTAATGACAATGTGAAATTTCAAATTATTACTTTGTTTCGATTCTTGATAGGTAGGTACTTAGATGTTTTCGTAATTTTTCAGATGTCTAATTATTATAATCGCTATGAAAAAGAAAAAAACGAGAACTCAAAATGCTCATATCCTACATAACCGCAATATCATGACTGAAAATATAATGTAAATTTAACATTGTAAAATAACACGTCATCTCTTATGAGTTATGACCGTGCTAAGAATTCATTAATTTTCAGTTCATGAAGTGATATACTGATATACATAGTAGGTAGGTATATAATTTTTTATATTGAATACAAATTTACAATTGTTAGTTTTATGCGAAATTGTGTAGTTCAATTTACATTTATCTTACATTGGTTTATGTATAAATTGTTTTCTGATATAATGTGCAACCCGATTTGGGCCCCCCAAGAATGTAAGAAACATAAAAYATAATTTCGTGGGCRCTGGAGCAATCCACTAAGCACCACTGTGAGTCTCACTGATTAATTATTATAATAATATTAGTACATCACAGTTGTTTTATTTAACTAGTCAAGAGAAAAAACAATAATCGTTCTTTTATTTTCTTATAAATTCTATTGCGGTTAAACAATTAAWCTTAAACATGGTGTATTCTAATTTTAATTTGATWATAGCCAATAGGTATTTACAATTTACAGATATTAAYACTAAAATTGAAAAATACAAACTCGTAACTTATGCCCATTTTTCTACTCTCAGTCACAGTAGGTATTAGCAGAATTGGTAAATTGAGTCCCAAATGACACTAACTCGGTAAATTGAGTCCCGGGGAAAAATAAGGTAGTAGGTAATTTGAGTCCCAGGGAAAAACGATTTATATGCATTTAAAATTGTTATTTTGTGCAATTTGTGGACATTCATTGACTCCATATATATGATTTTGAAAATAGCAACATGCATTTTTATTAATTATATAATTATTTTTTATGCAATAAAAATKCATGTTGCTATTTTCAAAATCATATACGTGCAGTCGATGAATTGTTCACAAATCATAAATAACAATTCTATAGTGCACATTTTTAAATTTTAAATGCAAATAAATAGTTTTTCTTAGGGACTCAAATTACCTACTGCCTTATTTTTTCCGGGACTCAACTTACCTACAACCTATTTTTCCCCGGGACTCAATTTACCGCTTTTAAAATGTACCAAACTTATCTCGGACTCATTTACCTAGCCCCGGTATTAGGAATATAGTCTGTACACGATACACTAATAATCAATCAATTAAAATACCTATAAAACAAAAACAATTAGCGTAGGCTATTGCCTATAACCRCCTCAGTTATTTACCTACTAATCTACTATAAGTATATGTATGATGTATGTAACATTTTATTTTTATTTCCCATAAGAAATATTGTAGTCAAATTTAATGCGAGCGCCTAGTCTTTAATTAATGTTAATTACTATACTGCTTATTCTAAATGAYCTACAATTTACACTCAATTAACCTTATAAAATGTATGTATAAACTATAAACTATAGATATGTGGTAGTTATTGGGATATCTAATATACTAGTGAGTGGTGGTCTACAAATCAAATGCATCAGTTGGATACTATTACATTTTTATTGTGATGATTMATTAATCATTATTCATTTGAAATACCAAAAAACTACTAAATTAGAATAATAAGTAATATTTATTTTATTTTAAATGTTGAATCCATAATATAGCAGGATTTTTTTATGATTAATGAGTCCATGTGAAAATCGCGAAAATAAAACAGCGAAATAAAAATCGCAAAATGTTTTAACAGCGAAAAGTAAGAAATTATTTTCGTTAGTGGGTATACCTTTATAATATAATAATTAATAAGTAATAATAAACATTAAAATATAAATAAAATCAAAATACTGTATAAAATAAAATGCTATGATCGCAATAGGAAAAAAAATTGAAAAATTAAATTAAAAACAAAATACTATATACACAATTAAATTTAAATTTGATATGATAAATTATAGGCAACACCTCTTAGGTATTCAAGTCTGTCCCTATTTTCGTAGTCATTGACTAATTCTTTAAGTGTATCCCTTTTTCGTTTTCTGAATGGTTCGATCGTACCAGCTATGTATTGATTTATTTTCATGTCGTTTAAACTCTGTTTCTTTTGAATTGCTTCAATAAATTTCCATATTGTTGGATGACATGAACTCAATAAATTATTAAAGCCTCTATGCCAYCCTTCAACATAATTATTTGTTCTAGGTAAACCAGATATAGTAGACATAAAGCAGTTCCACAGTGAAATAGGAAATCTGGGGTTCCTTCTTCTACGTCTATTTGGACGACCGATCCATGTATCCTCAAAGTAGGAAATAAGTGGTTCTAACACGTCTTCATTATTACTGTAACACGTACTTTCACATAATGTATTACATGATCCAAGACGCAAAAGTACAAAATTACATTATTGATTATCTAGTGTTATTATTACTTATTAAATCATAAAGGTTAATAAATAACTTCTTACTTTTCGCGATTTTTATTTTCGCTGTTTTATTTTCGCGGTTTTTTTTTTCGTGATTATAACTGGCACCAATGATTAATACCAAGCACATTGTCACATTAATGCATCTAAAAATTTTTTAATAAATTCTTATTGTAAGTAGTAATTTCTTATATTATTATATTATRWATATAAGTTCTTTTATTGTGTGATACATTTTATTGAAATCCTTTATTTTTACGAGTAAGTTTCATAAAAAAATTAATGTATTGTATTCGTATTTTCTTTAAAAGATTAAAAATACGATCTTTAAATATTTCATTAAAATATGTTCATAAACCATATTTTTAAATAAAAYAAGCACTAGATTTCTATTGTCTGTGTCCACTAACGACTTTTCTCATTATTTCTAAATCTTTAGCAAAACCAAAGAGCCGTATTTTTTTCAGATTAATTAAGAGACCAGAGACCGTCTTAATTTTCCAGTAGTATTCTTACCAACTCCGCCAGCGCAAGAAAAACTACTGGAGAAGTGAAGACAGTGCTCCCCTGCTTTAGCCAGGTTTACACTGTAAAATGTCCTCATATTAAATTTATACGTTCCAGTCGTTCCACAAACTTTTCTATATAGTTAAAAGAACGATACAACCACATGTGTTGTCTCTGTTTTAGAAATGTGAAACATTGTGAAAACTGTTTTGCACGGAAAATAACTACTCAAGCAATAATCTAAGCTAAGCAACTAAATGTTCACATCATAAAGAGGAGAATACCTAAAATGCAAAGTTGTTTTTATCTTTTTGATATCACAACTAAAAAAAAAGTTATTCAAGTTTAAAAACTCAAAAATAAAGAATTCTTAAACAATRAGAACTTTTTTTGTATTTGTGATATCGAAAAATTAAAAACAATATTGCTCTATAAATATTTTCCTCTTTATAGTGTGAAAATGTGGTTGCTTAGCAGCTTGGCTTGGATTACAGCTTTAGTGGTTCTTTTCCATTCAAAACAGTTTTTGCAATGCTTTACATTTGTAAGACGGAAACAACACATGCAGGTGTAGCTCTTAAAGCTACTTCTTTATTTGGGAAACTGAATACGCACATAATATTGTATACTCTCTGTGGATACTGTCATAGGCCTTTTTATAACTAAACTTGATAACTAGGACTATGAAATGAATGCACATTAAAACTTAGAAGGAAATTTAATTTAGAAAAATACACTTATAAATCCGCAATTAAAGTAACAAAATACGCATAAAAAATAATTATGTAACAAATGCACTCTAACACCTTAAATTTTTCGATTTTTTTTGGAACTTTCTATTGTTAACTATTTTAGAACGATGACGCAAATAGAATTTGTCGGCCRGACTTAATTTCAAAGTTATGACATTTGGAATTACCTAAGTATAATATTGCATTTTTTACGCATGGCCAATACGCTATAATTTACCAYGCTTTTCATACATTTTTATTTTCTATTTTGGTACTTATGTATTCTAACCTTTTAAAATTTGCTAAGAGAGCAAGTTAGAGTATGATTAGTAGTAAAAATAGTTGCTCTCTACGTCTGCTGGCTCTGGTCGCTAAATTCAACCTCTCGTTTTGGGGGTACGCAAAAAACACCCGAAGCTTAAAAAACCAACATGGAGTTAAAGCATACCTGCTCTAGCTATCTTTCAGCTAGATGGATTACCTAACAAGTAAATATAACCTTGTTAGTTTGTGGGACACTAATAAATTGGAGGGAGGGCTAAAAGCTCACTTAGTTATCTTGCGATTTGCGCTTCTGCTAAACAACCTTTACGTAKAAATAAGTAAAGTAAATAAGTAGTATACCTAGTTATGACGTATGTCATCTAAAATATCATCTAATAAATTTTGTTTAGCTTGGTTGTGCTTAAAACATAAAAAAACACTGTTATATGAATTTTTAGGCTGTGTCTAAACATAGTTGTTCTGTTGTTCATAAACCCAATTCGAAATTTATTTTTAAAGAAATATAAGTGTCGATAAGTTTAAAAGTTGTTTTTGTACTTGGTACTCTATAAGAGTTATAATCTTTTTTTAGTTATCATGTTGCGGATTACACGGTGGAAATAGTTACAAAGCAAAACAATTACTAATACCTGAATCATGTTTTAAAAATCAGTGGAGTCTGAAACAATATGTYGAAATAAATGATTGTCATATAAGTTGTTTCGATTTGGTGAAAAAACTTGAGGAAAAGTTTTTGAATCCAGTCATTATTCTAACATTTTTTTGTTCATTTCTACA